AAACTCCATGTTCAACAGAAGAGACCTACTAACTAGATCATGGTTCATCTATGCAGCAGAACAGTCTCCAATGACCAAAAAGAATGAAATATACAATATGTGTTGACAAATAGCCCGCAAGAGCTGAGAGAAGAACAGCACATGCAGCCTGGGCCAAGCACGGCTAGGGATGTGCATCCATGCACGTAAACCACCCAAAAGGTCAATCAAGCAGAACTGAGAGGATGTCTCTGTAGACTGAGACTAGATCTGGAGTAAAGGAAAATTTTCTTTTTCATTAGTCTTTTGTCCTGGCCAAATATATTTAAGCCAAATAAATAACACAAGCTGAATTAATCTCAAACTTGAACTATATTCTATAAAGATGTAGTCAAATAATAACAACAACAACAATAATAATAATAATAATAATAAGGCAAGAGTAAAGAGTGAGTCAGTTGGTCGCAGAGAACATTCCTTTATTCTAGTATTGCTTTCTCTTCATCTGTGCCAAAGTGAACTCTACTGACTCAGAATAACACAGCAGGATGTTGGCCTTGCTTCATCCTCCTTCCAAGTCTTTTCATACTTGTTAAATTCTTCCTCTGCAGCTCACATATGTGGACAAAGGGTTAGACACTGCATATTTCATAATTGATTTCCAGAGTCAATGTGATACACTTCTGTCTTAATTACCTTTCTGTTGCTGTGACATTGCCATTATCAAGGCAATAAGAAAGTGTTTAATCAGGCTAATAGTTTCAGAGAATTATAGCCCATAATGGTAGAGCACCTACAAGGGCACCACAGCAGGACAGCTGAGAGCTCACATCTTGATCTGCAATTAGGAGGCAGGCAAAGCTAATTGAAAAACCTCAAAGCCCACCCCTAGTGACACATATCTCCTCCAACAAAGCCACACCTCCTAATCCTTCTCAAATAGTTCTATGAACTGAGGACCAAGTATTCAAATATATAAATATATGGAAGGCATTCTCATTCAAACAACCATGATATCCAAAATTCCAACCAACCTTTTTTAAAGCAGAGTCAGGTGACCTGCTCCTAACATTCATGGGTGTTCAAAGAACTCAAAATAACTACAACAAATTACAAAATTTGGAGGACTCATACCTCCAGATTCCAAAGTTTACTACAAAGTTCCGGTACTCTAATAGCCCTATGCTGTTGGAATACAGACTTATAAATCAATGAAACAGAATTGAGAGTCCAAATGCAATCCACACACTTACAGTTAATTTACTTCAACAAGGGTGCCAAGAACACTCAATAGAAAGAGACAATTGCCTCAAAAAATAGTTCTGGAGCTGGGCATGATAGCATACTCCTTTAATTCCAGCAGTGGCAGGTGGATCTCTCTGAGTTCAGGGCCAGGCTGGTCTACATAGCGAGTTCCAGGTCAGACTAGCCAAGGCCACATAGTGAGACCCTGTCTCAAAAACAAACAAACAAACAAACAAAAAGTCCTGAGAGAACTGGATGTCTTCAGGCCAAAGAATTACTTGAGAATCTTAGCATTTACAATAATCTAAAAATAATTTAAAGGAACCAACAATGTAAAGAAAATATAAAAACTATAAAGAGCATGTGAAGAAAGAAGGGAGACTATCCTCATGACATTACTCAGCTAAAATATTTCTTAGACTGAACTGAAAACAACAAATAACAGAAAAAGAATAATGGGACTTGATCAAATATTTTTTAAAAACTCGAATTTTATAAATGTCTCATCAGGGGCTGGAGAGATGGCTCAGCTGTTAAAGGCTAGGCTCACAACCAAAAAATATAAATGTGTCATCAGGAAAGTAGAAATAAAACTTACAGAATGAGACAAAATATTTGCAAATCATTTTAATAGGACTTTTTGCTTAATACATAATAACTTTTTTTGCTAAATACATAATAACTCAATTAATGATTAACTCAAAGGGAAAAAAAATCAGAAAAGAGTTTGGGTTGACACGTCTCCAAAGAAAACATACAGTCAGTAAGTACATGAAAAAATGTTCAACATCATAGTCATTATGGAGATGCAAAATCAAACTGCAGAACTATCACTAGAAAAGCTAATAAAAATAAGTGTTGATGAGGATGTAGAGACACGAACCCTCACATTTTATGAATGGATTTAGACAGTGGTACCAACACTGGTAAACATGTTGACCATCTCTCAAAAAGTAGAACAGAGCCATGTGACCCACTAATTCTTCCCTTTGTGGACAGCCTAGAGAAATGTATATCTACACAACTCAACCTTATTTACATATCCATGAAAGAGAAACACCCCAAATGGATATCAGCTAATGAATGGATAAATAAAATATAGTGTATTCATACAGTGGGGTATAATTAAACATAAATAACAGAATTCTGATCCATGCTACTGCAGGAATAAATCCAGAAGATATTATGCAAATGCTGGTTGCAAGGTTCTGGGAAGAAGAAGGACCTGCCTATCAGTCTGACGGAATTATTTAAAGCTGCAGCTCACTTGTTTTCAACCTTTCCTATTCCCTTACCTGCTCTTGGGTTCTCTCCCCATGCTCCAGCTAAACAAGCTAAGGAATCTCCCGCCTTATTATGCATAGCATCATCACTTTCGTCCCACACTGGAATGGGATCAGGATTCCTTTTTTAGATGATGTTAATATTCTAGAATTAGGTTGTAGACGGTGTAAATATACCAAAACCCACAGAATTGTAAAGCAAAGTATTTAAAATAGTAGAAAAAAATAGTTTCCCATTTCACCTTATGTAAATGATACTTCAATGACTCAAGCACCACAGGACCAAGAAAGATCAGCATCAATTATTTTTAATAGCATGTAAATAGGTAAAGGGGTAAATAGGTAAAGAAAAAGTTGAAAATATTGGCGCCCAATTTTGTGAACAAAAGTGTCCAGCAACCATATTTGCTATAAATGTGCCAGAATAGATCTCATTCTGACACTGTAGGAGGAGAATAATGGTTGACTACAGAGATGGGCACACCAACAGAGGAAGAAAACAGGAAGTCATTAACTTGTACTTCTAGAAGAGTCACTTGAATGTAGGCTTCAAGAAACTGAGGCTACCCCAAAACTCAATCAATCAATCAACCAAATGGTAGCAAATGAAAAGGGCCTCAAAATGGCCAACATCGTACTTCAAAAATGTCTACTAAACAACCAGTTAGTCAAAGATGTACTATGGATGCCAGCCACACACACACACACACACACAAAAAAGACTCTTTCAACTAACTGCCCACTACTCTGGTGAAAATAGTGGCTGAACCTTTAGCATGCTCTAGTATGCTCACAGTTCAGTTAAACAAGCTATCTGAGGCTTCTATGGAATACCAACTTCTCCATTGGTCACAAGTGAAACACAAGAGTCCCACAGTAGGGCATTTTATCACCAGCTAGATCAAAACCATGCACAAGGATGTGTCACTGTTCTCCTCATGCATTCAGCAAATGTTTGCCAAGTGTCTGCCATACACAAGGTAGGAGGGGATACAAGGATGGTTGCTTCTGTACAGCATTCTTGGTGGGTATCAGAAAGAATGTAAAAAATGATGGGATTCTTGGCTTATGCTCACTTAATGATGCCCTGTCTTTTCTGAGAAGAAAAGCCATGGTCCTTAGACGGTCCCAAAGGTGCTATGTTGTATTATTAGTCTATTTTCCTATACCACCTTTTTTACCTCTCTGGTCTCTACCCCCACTTTTTGGCCCTCACTGCTTCCACTACAGTCACTGGCCTCTACTGTTCCCATCATGCTCCTCCTTATATATATATACTGGCCTCCAAACCAGCTCTTTGATCCACTTTAAAACTTTCCCCATGTTGACTCATTCCTCTCTTCCATATTTTTCAAATTCTGCTCATATTACATCTTCTCAAGGCTTATCTACCCAGCAACCTGATTTAAAAGCACAGTCCACTTACCTCCAGAATGTCCTACCCTGTCACCCACTTTAGCTTCTTCCTCCTTGTCCGAGTTTAACTAAGTTTGATAGCCCTACTTATTATGGATAGTGTTACTGGCCTACCCAAACCTAAGCTGCATGAGAATAGATTCGTTTTTGTTGATGTTGCTCACTGCTCTCTCTTTCTCACACCCACAGTACCACAGGAGTCACAAATACTTTTAAGGCTAGCCTGGAATTCAGAGATCTGCCTGCCCCTTTCCCTTGACTATTGAGATTAAAGGCATGCTCAACTAGGATCACTGTAGAGTCTAAGTCCATTTGCAGTGGCTGTTTAGGGACACCCTTCTAGAAGACCTGAGAAGGCACCTATAACATCCTGACACTAGCAGCTACAGGAAACCTCTGAGATATGAGAGGGAAGATACTGTCACTCCTTGGTGGATGCATAGCATTTCCTAAGAGACCTGAGTGTCAGTCAACTGTGCTTCCCATCTCTGTTCTCACCATTAGCACCTGCCAGTGGGCTATGTGAGGAGTGAAAGAGATTCTAAGTACAGTGTTAATTAGGTAATGGTTTGTATTTCTCACACAGCCCCCAAGAATATGGCAACAATGAGCTGGCAAAGAAAATACTCCCTTTCCTTAGTCTCCTCTGATCTTCACAATTCCTAGTAGCTCGAGCATTAAAGTGAGTCACTTAATTTTCTCATTCCCTCATCTTGTTCTAATTTCTTTCTCTTTCTTCTCCAAATGAAAGAAGAAGAAAAAAATCCTTAGTGCTTTATGCCTAATTAAAATCTGGCCATAATATATTTGCTGAAATGTCCTTGCTTTGGTTTGTAATTCCTGTCTGTGTATATTCATAGGCTGAGAAATCTCAAGTCCATTTAATCATGACAGTTCTAATCAACAGAAAGGATTTATCAGGGAAATGTTCATTTAGAAATATGAGAAAATCTCCAATGGGGCTTATGTGTGTATGATGGGAGATTATCAGGATACAAAGTGGGGCCCACTGAGGCGCCTTTGTTGGCCTTCAGATAGCAGCAGAAAAGCACAAAGCTGGCTGAGAAAAGATGTCACCTTCCATTCTTGTCACTGGTTAAGTCATCTGGACACATGCTTTGTCTTGAAGCATTTCAACTAAATTCCATGGATTTGTCTGTAAAAATGAGAGATTAAGGTGAGCCTCTAACAACTTATTAACCCTCTAAAGTAAAAAAAAAAAAAAAAAAAACCAACCCAACTACCATCCACCAGGAAGCATACCCCCCCCCCATGCTGTTCTTGTTTTTCAAAACCTGAGTTTCATTTCTCAGAACAGTGAGCACAGATAACAAGGTCCTGTACTGAGGAGTCCATGCTCATGGATTTAACATGAAGAAATCAGAGCATCAAATCTGCCTTGCCAAGTCTTTGGTTCAAGGGTCAGGTGCCTCTTAAATAAGTCTTTAAGTAAAACTCTCCTTGACTAGTATATTCCAAACCAAATATCAGTTATTTATATTGACCCATTACAAAGTAAAGGATTTTATTTGTAAGTATGTTAATTTTAAAAGGCAATTTTAAAAAATAAAATTAGCATTTCCCAGGGCTGGAGCCATGGCTTGGCATCTGAGAACTTGTACTAATCTTCCAGAGGATCTAAGTTCAAGTCCCACCTGTAACTCCAACTCCAGGCGGCTCTCATGCCCCTAGCCTCTGTACCTGCACTTACACTAACCCCCTTACTCACTGCAACACACACATATACATAATTTAAAATAAAACATCTTTTTAAATAGAATTTGTCATTGGCGAAAAAAATAGGACTTTAGCTGCTGCTGAATAAATTTTTGAAAGCAGATTCAAACTTGATTTGTAAGAGCTTTAGGTGTTCCATTTCTATCATTAAAATTAGTTTATAGAAAATTAGGCAACAACTTATGAGCCTGTTAAACATTTCAAGATGCTAAGCATGTATTTTAACTGAAAGGATTAAAAGGGGGGGGAATTATACACAATGAATAAAGAGAACACATATACTTGAATTCATTGATTAAGACAGAGACAAACAAAATAAAAACACCTCCCTAATGCTTAGCAAATTTACACAATAAATAATACAAAATAAAGATGAACATTGAAGATGTTTTTCAGTTTGAAAATCTATAAACAAACAAGGTGAAGCTTCGAAGCACTTGGGAGATGAGACACGACAATCAGTGGTTCAAGGTCATCCTTGGCTGCATGTGAGTTCTAGGCTAACCTGGGCTTAAATGATACTCTATTGAAAAAAAAAAAAAAAAAAAAAAAAAAAAAAAAAAAAAAAAAA